ATTGGAGGACCGGCCAAACTCCGTGCGCCCAAGTCACTGGTGATTTCAGGCCAGCCTGGCTGGATGTTGATGGCTGTCTGGAGCTCCTCTTCAGGGTCTCTCCAAAGTTCTTGTGGGCCTTCATCCAACTCTTCACCAGCACTGATTGCACGGCCGCCGTCGTCAGCAGACTTCTCCTCCAAGTTCTCCTGGTCCACGTCCAAGCTCAGCAAGTCCAGAAGATTATGAGCGTCAGGGATCATCTCTTCCGACTCCCCCACTCCGCTCACACCTGAGTCTCCTTCAGGAACCATCGGAAGGTCCTCCGGCCGCGCTTGCTCCAGCAAACTTGTCCTGCAGCTCTCGGGACCAGAAAGGATTCGCCATGGCGGCCAACAACCAGTCCACACACGTTGTGGATCTGGGTGGTCTTAAAAAAGCGTTGGGCTCATAACCTGCAAACACAGGCAGAGCAGCGCGCGTGTTTCCTTGTGCAAAAAGGGCCTCCGGGATACAACGTGGTCTCACGTGTCCGGTCATGACTCTATTTATCTTCCAAAAGATGAGTGCTCTTGTAACAAAACGAAATCAACTAAAGAGCTTAAAGGGTAATCAAAAGACATGAAAAGGAGTTAAAAGTATCAACAAAGAGCAAAAGGAACTCAATAGGAAATCAATAAGAACAACAAGGGAATTCATGACTGAGCGTGTGTATATATATATGATATGTATGTATATGTATACAATATGAATATAGATATATATATATATATGTGCTTCCGTCATCTTCCATCTGCTTCTTCGCCGGTGTTTAGCTTTGAATCCAAGCCTCCAAGTGATCCAAATCGGCTGCTCGCTCTGAAAGTTTCCGCAAGAAATATCCGCCTTTCCACATTCGTTGGATACATTCTGTCGATACATTTTCTTTGAACTGCAGTAGTTCGAGCTCATTGCCAACAGCAATACCTTAGCACTTGCGAAACAAGCTGAGAATCTTGACAGTTAACACACAATGATGTGTATATAATACATATATATATATACACACACGACAGTTTATGACATGAATGTTCTCTTTTTGTCTGTTTCTCCCAATTTCAGCAGACACTCTACCCATCACGTGTTGCCTTCCAAGCACTTGCACCAGCTGTTTCACCAGGCGCCAGTCGCGGTCGTCGTCTTGCTCATCACAAGTAACTTGTGTGCCAACCAGAACCTCTGGAACTCTAAAAGCATGTCAGTGACAATTGAGTGCATAGGACACCACTTTTGAAGGCCAAACTACTCTCCCTTATGCGCCGAACCATGCTGAAACCTTGCGCAGCTGCTATATCATCTCCCACTGCCAAAAGAGCCCACCCCATCAAGCCCAAGGCTAGCGGCTAGACCCAGCATGGTTTAAAACTGACGGCAGCGCATGGAAGTAGTTGAAAAGCACAACAAATGCAAGAGCGAGCTTGGCCGGTCCGCCTGCATCTGGCCTTCACGGACAACAACTTCTAGCTGGGACCATGCCTCCACGCGACCTCCATCAGGCCACGCCTGCGCAAACGCCACACGAGCCATCTCGAACCTTCACACTTGGTGAGGCCTGGTGTGCTCATGACTACTGAGAGAGATCTTGCTGCGAAATGTTTTGACTGTTTTTGTTCTTGCGTGTCTTGGCCAAAAAAATCCCAGGATATTCTTTCGTGAAGGTTCAGCCAAAACGTAAAGCACGTGTGGCACGAGCTGTGAATATGCATAAATTGTGCTTGGTGGAGCACGCGTGTCGCAGCTCGATGGCTCATTGGCCTTCCTTGCGAGTACGAATGCTCAGCTTGGAGACTGCTTAGCTTGCTCTAACCATCTTAACCCGTGCACTGGACAACACTAGTGACTTTGGACAAGGGGCCGAGTCAAAAAATATCCAATTACGCCAGCATAGACCCCAGATAGCATTGGAATCATTGCGTTCAAGCTCCCGCGGCTTCTTCGCTCGCGCTTCGTAACAAGCGCTCGCAGCAGCGGCACCAGCGCCCAAGCCCCCAAGCACACAGCAGCGGCACCCTGCAGCAGCACCAGCGCCCAAGCTCCCAAGTGCACACAGCAGCGGCAACCAGCGTCACCAGCACCCAAGCTCCTAAGTGCACACAGCAGTGGCAACCAGCGTCACCAGCACCCAAGCTCCTAAGTGCACATAGCAACGCCACCCTAGCGGCCCTAGCACCACCAGCACCCAACCTCCTAAGCACATACAGCGGCGCCACCAGCACCCAAGCGCACACAGCAGCGGCGCCCTGCAGCGATACCAGCACCCAAGGTCAAAAGCGCACACATGCAGCTCTCCTACGCTTGAAGCAAGACCCCATAGGCTCTCGCGCGGAAAATAGACCCCCTCGCATACGCTACACCACCAGCACCAGGACCACCGGCACCCGGCACCCAGCACCGGCACCCTGTCTCCACCACGTGCGCAGCCAGCTCACAGCACCAGCGCCAGCACCGGCACCCGGCACCCTGTCTCCACCACGCGCACACCCAGCTCACAGCA